AGAGGAATATTAATGGGGTAGAGAAGATAATGGGAAAAACTATAATTCTGTTTGCCTCTTAATACTAGGATTTGCTTTTTCCCTTGCTTAATCTTGTATTTCCTGACTTTATCTGATAAAATATAGAATTTTTTTGAACTATTGTAATATGAGTGTAGTACAAGAATGCAATATATGGAAGTTTGGAAGACTGAAAGGGAAGAAAATTTCAAGAGCCTCTTGATGAGGTCACAAAGGAACCAATAGATGGAGAAAGAAAATGAGTGATTACTGGACCTCTACCACCAGCTGGCCACCTCCAACCCCCAAAGGAGGTTTTGGGGGAATGCATTTCTAGGCTAGCCAAGAACAGCAACTACACATGCTGTGGTTTGTCATAAAATGAAACGTGGACGAATCACAACCCATACTTGGAAGCAAAGTCAGCAAATCTCCAAAATGACTATTGGACCCAGAGTGGAACTGACTGAGCTGAATGTTTCTTTCTGGTTTCATCCAAAATTTGACACATTCAGTGAAGACCTCTAAGAGACTGAACACAGAAGCAAACACATCTAAGTTTTGCATGCAGATTGGGGAAAAGAACTAAAACATCAGTGAGTGGTATTAGGTGAAATAAATTAGTTTTATGGACTGATTCACTGAGAAATTCTCACTGTCTGTGAGTCTACATACTTAGTGTAATTTATAGAGTATTTTGCTATTAAATTTCATAATTAGTTTTATGGGTAGAGGTTCTGTCCTATATCACAAACAAACAAACCAAAAAAGACCCCAGCCAAATATGATGGGAAGTCAGGGGTGGTAACATTCCATAAAACTACCTGATGATTTCACATACAAAACACTGTACAGATCTACGTATTATTTTCTGGTGGAGATCTATGTCAATGTTGATATTTTTAAAAAGAGTGCTAAGCATAAAAAATGGAAGAAATATATTTTTCAATTGTTTAAATGAGTAAACCTTCCTAAAATTTTAGTTATAGTCCTTAGTAGAAGGTGGACATTTGGGGTTAGAAAAGATTTAGAAATAATTTTAAGAGAAATAAATGAATAAAATCTATCTATTGAGTGCATACTATATGTTAGGTATTGAAACCTGAGAAGTTACAAATGATTCCCGCCTTCATGGAGTTTATATCCCAGAGAGATGCTCTAACTTTATACAATAGCAAAGGTCTATAAGCAGTGCCCTTGTCACTGTGTATTACTCTTACCATAGCTCATACCTTATTCCACTGTAATTGGCCATCTGCATGTCTACTTACATGGAACTGTTGCCCAAGCAGGTTTTAAAAGGATAGGCTCAGAGAAACTAGAGGTCTCTCCAAGAGACCACGCTAAAATTTAGGTTAGTGTTTGTTCCCCATTTCAGACAAAACAGTTCAACAAGAAGAAAATGAGAGTTCATACCGCAGTTATTTTGCTCTGAAAGGGTTTCCATGTGCTGTGTGAAGTTACTTAGCATCTTGAGAGTGAATCATGCATTTGAAAAGGCAATTACAAGAGCAGGCAAGAGAAACAACTCTGCCCATTATCTTCCTTCTACTCCTTCTGTAAATATAACTGTCACCTGTTTGGCCCATTTTATTTTTTCTTCAGAAGCTTGATGGCTCATTAAGGGGTCTGTTTGTGTGGGGGCATGGGGAAAGTGTCCACAAAATTCAACATATGTTTTCATCATTTACTAAGTAAACTTTTGTTGCTGTTGTTGTTGAACTTTCATCAAAAGGTTTTATTCCATATGAACAAAATTTAGAACAACCATCTGTAAAAAGATCCTGGATCTTCATAAATGGTCAGTACAACATTGTTTCTAATAGTGTTTCCTAGAGCCTGCAGCAATGTCTGACACACAGTGGGTGCTCCCTAAGTATGTCTGAACTGTGCCAATGAATCAGTGAATCTGGAAGATAGCAACTCCATCATGTATACAAACAAAATAGTTTTTGGTGTTTTAGGGTTTTCAATTTTAAAGCAATAATACGTATTGAAAAGATCCAACTTACTTATTAAAAATGCATGTCTGCTCTAAAAAGGTACTATGCTCAAGATTCTATGCTATGGGACCACTGTGCTGAATAAACTAATTTTTATTACTTCATTTATAAAACTTCCCAGAAAGAAATACAAGAAGTACACCTTATAAAGGCATCTGCTACATTTCAAATAGGGTAAAAACAAAGTTCCAGACTAGAACAAAGTGAGCCTCCAGATGAATTTCAATTAGAATGAGTTGTTCTTAAGTTGTGTCTTAAAACAGGGTATGACTTACTAATATTGTTTTTGATTTCCTAAAAGTTAAAATTGGAGGAGTATAAGAATTAATGAGAAGAAATAACATTAAGAGATAAAGCTAATAATATTTTTTTTTTAAACTGCACTTATTCCATTTTTAAACATCACAGGCACTGAAGGGCAAACAATTCTTTTCCAGCTGAGCACACTCTGGAGTCCTTGGCAAATGCCGCCAAGCTGTCTCCTGTGTCCCCTCCATAATGCCTGCCAATTTTCTGTCATTTCCTCCTTCATATGATAGTGTTTGTGTGACAAAGGTCTCTAGGTATATTTCAAAACATCTTTAACTATTCAGCAGGTTACCCCTAAGCACCCATCTAAAAGTGTTACTTATTCTCCACATGGCTTAATTTGTCAGAAGACACAAAACAGAATTCCTCTTATCCTTCTCCATAAAGAAATGTCTAGAAAGCTTATTGTGAAAGCAATGGCATACTAATTGCCTTTTGTAAAAGAAGAAAAGTTTCCTGTGGCTTAAGCAGTTTCTGTATTTCTACATATAACAAACAAAACAGTAAAACCAATTATTTACTAAACTATATTCTTTTTATATTCCCCGTACATTTATACTAGTTTTAGACTATTTCCTTTTTCTGATAAACAGATCATTGTTTGTGACTGAGAGAATCACTTTGGATTTCACGTTATTTAGGATTCCGGTCATCCCATACGGAAACCCAGCATCATTCCTCCCCTTCTACCACCTCCCTGCTCCGCATTCCGACCCCTCCTTTTAGGCTGCAAGAAAGGGATGACACAGTTTACAATTTTTATCCATCCAAAGAGCAATCTTTAAGAAAAACACTTAAACAACGGATTGATACATTTTCCCTTTTCATTCATTTTACAGCATTTGTTCTTAATTTCAATGTTTTGTGAATTTTTTCAAAGAATTTCACTGTGAAGGTTAGCTTATAAATATTAAGAATATGAGATTAAATTCTTTAAGTAACAGTCTTTTTTTTTTTTTTTTTAAAGATGACCGGTAAGGGGATCTCAACCCTTGACTTGGTGTTGTCAGCACCACGCTCAGCCAGTGAGCAAACCGGCCATCCCTATATGGGATCCGAACCCGTGGCCTTGGTGTCCTCACCGCACTCTCCCGAGTGAGCCACGGGCCGGCCCAGTAACAGTCTTAATCAGCAATTTGTGCCCAAACCAACGTGAGCCATAATCACATCAACGGCATTATATTAGTATGGATTTCTTCTCTAAGACAAACATTTTCTTACATTTAGTTGTAGCAGTCTTAAACAGTCTTTACTACTAATTTATCAGCACTTTAAAGCCTTTTCTTTTGCTTTTTTATTTTTTGCCTGATGATTCTTCTGAGTTCAGGAGGGTTCCCCCCGCCCAGGTGAAAATTGTTTATACTTCTCAGGTGTTTGCTTTCTTTCTTAAATTCTCAGAACAGTTCATTACAAAGTTGTCAATGTCCTTTACAAAAGTATCTGGTTCCAAATAATTAGTGTTTGTGTAGTACATCATTTGAAAATATTTCTTCTTTCCTCTTGCCAGGATTACAGGAGTCTTATATATTGCCCCACAAATCCACTTTTATTATTTAGTTGGGTATACCTGAGAACAAGACAGGTTGCCCATTTCAGATCCAGTTCTGAGATCTCTCACAGAAAATGAGTAAGAAGTTTACACTTTTATAAGTATCAGTTCAGAATGTTTTCCCCAGAATTCAGCATAGCACCAAGCAACCATTCTCCATAGAATAAAAGAAAGTGACCTTCCTTTAAAGGTAAATAAGCCTGTCTAATTCATTCCCAGGCTTTGCAGAATAGCACAGAGAGACAGAGAAATTTGTTTATTTTCTATCAGCATTTAATTTTGTCTCTAAATAAAGTTTACTTTCTGTATAAGTCACTACTCGTTCATTCTTTGCAGTGTTTCCTAGTCTTATATAGACATATTTTGAAACACACCATAACAAAAATTCTGCTATGTAACAAAATCTCTCCCCACTCCACAAATAAGATATCTGTCACCCATAGTCAATAAAATTTCTATGGTCACTAATGATCAATAAGTTTTATGTGTGGAAAATCTTTTGTTTTCTTTCTAGGAGTTAAATTGTTAATACTTGGTCTTTTAGACTAATTCTTAAATATTTGTCAGGCTTGATAAGGAGCCAAAAAACAGTTCAGAGTCCCATGAATAAAGGTCATTCCAATTTTAGTCTCATTATTAAGAAGTGTCTTTCGAATTTGGAAGAAAAAAATCTAATTGGTCAGATTTTTAGAATATCTTTTTCAAAAGATTAATATTCCAAAAAGCCTATAAGAAGGTAAACAAATATAAATAAGAAATATATCTAGATTAGGACATGCCAGATCAATTTAGAGAATCTGGAGGCATAAAAATGTACACTAAAATTATATTTTCGAAATCATGAGTAAAGTTCTCTGATAACTTTCTAAATAAAAGGCATGAAAATAGAAGTTTCATAGGATGAATTTAGAGACTTGCGAAAATGAAAATTTAAAGGTTAAAAGTCAAATTTCTTCATCCATCTACTTGAAAGCTTATAAACATGTTTTTCAAAAGCATTATAAACTAAATTATTACACCAGGTAGAATTTATCTTCTTAGAGAGTTCAAAAATAATAATTGTTATTTACTAAATGCTAGCGCATCGACTACAAAGACATTTATAGCCACTACTCTTATACAAAAAGAATTCTGCTCACCAACTTCTAGAACAGCTTGCTTGCCCGGATGTAGGATCTCAAGACTGGCTTCAGAGAGACTGTTGTGGGAGGAGACACAGAAAGTAAACACATGATTTTCACAGTATAGCAGCTGAGATCTCAGAAAAGAGGCACAGGGTCTCAACCATTCATCTATCCTCAAGGTTATCCTGACATCTGAAAGCCATTGACATCCCGAGGCTTCCAGCACTTCGGACACATGCCTAACACGAGATAAATATAGATCCCTGACACCTGAGCCAAGTGAAATGAAAGTTAACTTGAGAAATCTCACTCATTTTGTGTCTCAGTTGAGGAAAATAAAACCCTTAATCCTTTTCCTGTTAAAACCTGTTATGCCCCTTAACAGTAGTTGTTGTACATAGGAAACATGGAAATTCAAATAATCAATCATTAATAATCAATTTATATCTCTTTTTGATTACCATTTGTTCTGATAGTATAGAGAGAGGCTCAGGTTTTTCTTTCTTAAGTAAAAAAGCAACATAATAGACAATTATTAAACAAATAGGTTATTGAGTCAGTACTTTTTGCAGGTGAGTCCCTGAAAGGTGAATATCTATTTGGTAAAACTTTCTTAGTATTTTTTTCTTCTATATGTTTTCAGTAGTAATTTGATCATCTTTTTGTTTTCCTCAATTATTGAGGCAGAAGCGCCACGCATTGCCAGGGTGCTTTGGTTTAAATTAATGGTTTAAAATTTTTTTTGGAATAGTTTTTTTTTTTTTTTTTTTCCTTTTTGTCTTTTTTCGTGTCCGGCAACGGATCGCAACCCTCAGTGTCGCGCCCGTACCGGACCGGGACCGGCAATGGGATCGCAACCCTCGGCGTTGCGCCCGCACCTCGCTCAGCCAGTGAGCGGGAACCAGTCTGTATGTGGGATCTGAACCCTTGGCGGGAGCGCCGCCGCACCCCCAAGCGGCGCACTGTAGCAGTGCGCCACTGGGCCAGCCCTGGAATAGTTTTATAATGTAGTTGATTTAGAATGAATTTTGCTTAGTACTGCAGGTACACATATGAATAGGGCTCTCCATTCAGCCTGAAAAGACCCTGTGATTAAAGTTGTAACTCTGAAGATATAATCACAAGATTTTTAATGATAAATCCCTTCCTGTGATTTATATATTAAGAATCTCTAATTCTATATTAAAATTAACAGAGAAACCAGAAAGGAGTTATACTGCTCTCTGGATATTTTGAGGTGTTAAAAATTTGCAATTAATATTTCTTTCACAGAATAGCATTAAAGGAAAAGGATGGACTTTAGAGTTACCACTTTTTAAATAAAACTGTTCTGTAACTAGTAGTATCCACCATCCCAGAAAAAAAAAAATTACAAAAAGCAGTATTTTCATAATATTTTAATTATAGATCCCATGTATTGAGCACTGTTCATGGAACTGGCATTTTTCTAGGCAGATATATAATTTCACTCTTTTCCTAATCCCAAAGTAGCTTTGCAAATCAAGTTAATATCCTTAGGCCCATTCTCTGGAAAAGAAAACTGAAACTTGAAGGGTAAGTTTTGACAATGAACACAAGGCTATTAAGTGGTTTGTTTGAGAGTCTATCCCACACAATTTTGACTTGAAAGCAAATTTTCTTTTCCATCTTACAATACAGTTACAGGTTAAGAATGTGTTTCATCTGCCCTTTATCTATGTCAGATGAGCAATCCTACGAACAATCCCAAGGCTGCTTTTGTTGTTGTTTTTTGTTGTTGTTGTTTAAACAAAGTTAGGGAAAGCATAGAATGGTCCCTATAGAGTATTGCTATGACACCAGGAAATCCCCAGGAGCATTATGTCCCTAACACAAGGAAACGATAGAAAATCTGTAAGTCACAACCCTGGCCAGGAATATTACTTATCTCTTACATTTAAGTTTCTCTTACATTAAGTTTAAACAGACTTTGACCTACCAGAGCCTGGAGGGCCAGTCCTGATGTCCACCTGTCAGCTAGTCAGAGATCTGGTATGTGACATAGAACAGGGATAACCAAGTCACCAGGAATCAGTCAGTCATGTCAGGGGGTCAATACCAGGGAGATCTTTGCATAAAATGGAGAACCACGTATTCCCAAATATCATAGAATACCATAGAATGTGACCTTTTCATTATGGAAAAAGAAATGTATTCCATGTGTTTTAAAGAGTTTTGTGTTACTTGAACTAGGAACTTGTTAGACAAATGATGGTATCAAGGAAGTGAGAAAAAGACATGCTAAAAATCCAGTGAATGCAACAACGCATGTTTTCACATAGTAAATATCACGGAATGCCTCTGACATTCTAAGCGCTATCATCTTCTAATATGAATTATGTCCTATAGGGAAGAATAGGAAGGCCTAAATTTCCTTTTCATGAATTATCATTAAATTGTTCACTCCCTGCTGGGTACCAGCTTTAGGGGTTGGTGGGCGGAAGGAGAGGGAAGAGTAGCGATGGATTATTGAGTTTAGAAGGACTCTCTGTGGTAACTAACCAGGACCAGACAACTGACCCCTCCATCCAGGGAATCATCTGAAATCTTCTTCACCAACTTTTTCGAAACTGAACATTTCATCACAGAATGTCAATTAGACCCAGGACTTTCTTTTTCCAGTAGGTTGTCTTTCAAGTGTTTACGAAACTAAAATTTTGAACTAAGTAAAACCAGAATCTTGCCTGGTCCTTGCTTTTCAATGAGTGGTCTAACATTAAGCCATTAAAATCGAACTAACAATCCTGCTGCTAATAGCAAGTGTTGCCAGCTGTTGACAGAATGGTCCTCATAGGACATTACCATAGAATTTCTCATTTCTGTGTGAAAACCTTTTTTCAGAACAAACAAATTCATCTGTGTGTATGCATAGCATCATCGATACAGTTTTCTCTCCTACCCAACACCGTCCACATCCCGTTTCTTTGATGCTGTCCCTCTTTCAGATATCTTTCCTCTCCACTCAACCAGCATCATCTAGTGTGCCTCATTAAGGGTTATTAATGACATTTACTTCATCTTTAAGTACGTCATGCTGAATGTGTTTAGAACTTTTATTATGCGATGCTTTAAAAAAAAAGTCCTTTCAGAGAAATCAAAATTTTAAATCAAAGTTTTGCCCCTTGTTTGTATATTCCTGTCCACTGTGTCAGAGTTAACAGTGAACTATTCTTGAACCCCTGGCTGCATAACATAACAGGGAAGGAACAGTCTGTGGCCTTCTAAGGAACATTTGGCATAAACCTCTCTAGCCATTTGAAAACAATGAGTGATATTGACCCAGGCCTTGCTAACTTGTGTTTAGAAAAAGCACATTGGCAAAACACTTCTATATAATTATCGGCTTGCTTAAAGTGTGTTTTCAGGATCTGAAAGACATTTGGGGGCTAATTTGTAACTGATTCTATTAGAACTCTCTTTGGGTTTCCCGTTTATTTCTTTGTTTTCCATGTTATCAGAAAATAAATAATATCACCCAAATACATCCTTCGTAAGAAACATTCTTCTACAGGAGAGCCATGACAAAGGTTTAATATTAGTCTCTGCTTAACTCGCTCTCCTCAGATCTACCATGTGTGAAATGTCCTTATTCTAAACAGTAGCTTATGGTGGAGCTTTTATTGTCGTCGCATCTCAAAACTGACTTCTGCATATTGTTTTCTTGCAAAATGCTGGGAGAGTGGATGTTAAGTGTTCTCATCACACAAATGATAACTATGTGAGGTAAAATGCATGTTAATTAACTAGATTTACTCATTCCACAATGTATATATACTTTGAAACATCATTTTATACCTGATAAATACATACAATTTTATCTGTCAAATTAAGAAATAAAATAAAATAACATTTTATATATTTGAAAAAACACTGACTTTAGGAGAGAATGCTTACTTTATGTTTGCGATTCTAAAATAATAAGGATTGATGAAAATAATCTATACTATCAAAAATAATTTAATGGAGTAGTGCTCTTAAGTCTGAAGCTTAAAATTATTGCTAAACTTTTTTTTCCTCCCTTTCGATGTCATCTTGTTTAATTGCAAAAGTCTTATCAACAATTTGCATGAAATGGTATAGCCTCAAAGCAGCATTCCTTCCTTTTAAGATGGGATAGGTTGTCATTTAATTATTTATTCATTCAATAGTAAGATATATTGAGATTCTATTTATGCATATGTCTTATGTTACTACTTTGGGAAAAAATTTGTGTTCTCAAGTTTGTGTTCTCAAGTATATATCATTGTTCAGTGAAGGGAGGCAAGCAAAGTTGCAATGTGATAAACTAAACTGAGGGATCAGAGGTTTACATAATATACATACGTATATACGTATACATTACATGTACATGTACATAGACACATACATACACATACATATATACATGTATGAACGTTGTGTGTATATACGTGTAAATGGATATGGACACATATTGTATATATGTGGACATATATGGATATTGTATGTGTATGTGTATATGGCTCTGTGTGTGTGCGTGTGTATACATACACATACATATTTTAGTTAAATGAGCCAATGTCTAAAAATGAATAGGTTTCAATTGGCAAAGAAGTAGAAAAGCATTTAAAAAGTTAAGAAACCAGCAATGCAATAAGCCTACCACGGAGAGAAAGGAGTATGGTCAATTTAAGTAACTGAAAGCAGAAAGCCAGTGTGGCTAGATGACAGAGTAAAGGGAAGAGTAATGAGAGATGACGCAGGAGGGTTAGGGATGGGTCAGATATCATAGGGATTTGTAGGGATTTATCCTAGGAACAACTAGAAGCCTCTGGCAGTAGTATGGTTAATGGACTGAAGAGAGGTTAAGAATGGATGTGGAGAAACCAGTAAGGCAACTCTTGCTGACCGTAATGGTAACTTGGCCTAAAGAGGATGCAGGAAAAATGGGGAAAAATGACGTGGATTTAAGAAATATTTAGAAGGTAAAATAAACAGGTTATGGTGAGGAATTCTTTAAATTGAAGCAATTTTATAAATCATTCTATACCCTAACATAAACACTCATTGTTCAGATTACATATGAGAACACATCTAGCTAAATGATTGG